AAGCCTTTTGACCAACACGATATTACAAGATTTAACTAGTGATCAGTTTACTCATTCTTCTTACATAAAGTACAACCAATAATAAAAATGAAGGCTAAATATTGATGTGCCAGGTGCTGAGCTGAGCGCTTTATTTGTGTGGACTAATTTAATCCTCCCAACACCCAATGAGATAGTTACTGTTAGGATTTGGACTAATTTAATCCTCGCAACACCCAATGAGATAGTTGCTGTTAGGATTTCCACGTTACAGATGAGGAAACTGAAACTTAGAGGGTTTAAATGATTTGCCCCAGGTCCCATGGCTAACAGGTAGAACAGGGATCTGAACCTATGCAGTTGGGATAGCACAGCCTAGATGCCTAACCTCTATTCTACATTGTATTCTCAGCACCAGTATATATATATCTGTCTCTAAAATTTCTGCAGATTCCCTTGGGAATATTCCTTATATGATGATTCCTGAAAGTTACTCACAAATGAAAGAAGAAACCATTATACTGACACTACCTTATGATAGGCCTTCACAGGTTTAGAAATCTAGGGGATTAGTACTGCAGAAGCTTTTTGGTGGTCTCCCAGCCTCTGTCTCTAATCACTCTTCTCATCTCTGAGAAATGGGTTTTTCTATTGGTATGCCTGTTGGTATCTGTTGGTATGCCTCTTCTGAGTACAGGCCCCTAGTGGTTTCCCATGGCTTTCAGATGAATTTCAAATTACTGCTTAACTCTTCTTGCCTTCCCTTTACCATTCTCTCCTCCCCTCTTCAACTTAACATGACGCTTCATGCCCTTCTGCCTATCCACATAGCACTCCCTTGTAACAGAAACTTGACTCCCCCATTGCCTTTAATTTCTGCACCCACCCTGGCTCCACTTGTGCAGAAAGGCTGGGTGCTTTCTAGTCTCCCAGCATCCTTGCACACTCTGATGTTGCATTTATTTCACTACTTTGATTTTTTTTTAATTGTCTTCCCAGATACATCATAAACATGTTTTCCACCTGATATGTTTTCCCAGCTTTTCCATATTTTAAGCCAGGACCTGGTATAATTTTTGGGACATAGTATGTGTTCAATAAATGTGGAGTGAGTAAACCAAGGGTGATGTACAGTGTGACACAAGAGCCAGACATCACTATACACTGTCCCTTCAAAACTAGTGCTGGGCATAGTGGCTCATGCCTGTAATCCCAGCAGTTTGGGAGGCCAAGGCCGGTGGATCATCTGAGGTCAGGAGTTCGAGACCAGCCTGACCAACATGATGAGACTCCACCTCTACTAGAAATACAAAAATTAGCTGGGCATGGTGACAGGCACCTGTAATCTCAGCTACTTGGGATGCTGAGGCAGGAGAATCTCTTGAACCTGGGAGGTGGAGGTTGCAGTGAGCCGAGATTGTGCCATTTCACTCCAGCCTGGTTGACAGAGCAAGACTCTGTCTCAAAAACAGAAAACTACTGATAAGCCTCCAGGTTGGTAATTTTGATTTTTCTTTTCTTGTCCCCAACCTTTATTTATAGGCACTGTAAACACTGCCGATTAGAAATTTGGTTAGAAAACAGGTACCTATATGTAACTTTCAAACTAGTAGACTAAGCTAGGTTAACTCCTCTGGGAACCTTTACTTGATGAAAAGGCGACCCAGCAGAGTTCTGTGTTATCTGTCCCTCATTAGCACATGCCCTTTCTGAGACTGGCAGAATGAAGGCAGAAGGACACCTCTGCATCTCCAGGGTCCTGAAGAATTGCTGCTTCCATGAACAGGATGGTGACTGGCAGGTCCCCTTCCTTCAGCCTTTTTAAGCCTTCCTCAAATGCTCCAGGCCAGTCCTTGAAGGGGTTTTCAGTGTGAAAGTAATATCCCTGCAACACAGAAAAAGACCAGTGCATGAGCCATTGATTTCTCTTTTCATTCTTACATTCGGTAGGTTCTCATTAAAAAGTCAGGAAACAACAGCTGTCTCTTATACACATCTAGATGTGTATAAGAGACAGAGATAATACTAAATAATACAAAAAGATACAAAAAGTTACCTATAATGCCACAACGTAGATATGAGCACTGCTAATATTTTTGATTTTGCTTTTTTCTGATATCTTTTTTTTTTAAACAATTTCCCCTCAAGATTTAAAAAATACTCTTTAGACATGTTTTTGCCAAGTGCTACCACCCATCCCCCAAAATATGAATCTTACATACTGTATATCTGTTTAGCTACTACGGCCCTTTGGAGAACTACAAACCATTGTCATAACTAAGAATTTTTTTTGCCTTCGCCCTGAACCAGTTTTTGCCTATTGGGGGCTATATTGTTCCTGTTGAGAATGCATGTTTTAAAGTTAAAGATCTTTTTTTTAATTGCAAAAATTTAAAGAATATTTAGTGTACAAATAACTGGTATTTTCTATGAATATATAAATTAAACAAATAGGCACATATTACATACACAGACTTATAGCTTAGGCCTCACTTAGTTTTATATTGTGATTTCTCTATGTTATTAAAATTATTCCTATGGATATGCTATATTTATTTATTCAATCCCCTATTGATGAACATTCAGGTTATTTTAATTTTTTTGTTATCATAAATAAAACTATGGTGAAAGCCTCATGCATAAATCTTTGCTGCATTTACTTATTACCTTAGGATAGACTCCCAGAGGGATTTATTAGGTTAAAGGTTATGAGCTATTTTTAAGACCTTGAAATGTGTAGCTAAATTGTCTTTGAAAAAATTTGCCCCAACTTAAACTCTCATCTGAAGTATCTGAGAGATGTTACTTGCTGCAATTTTACTTGCATAGATTTTCATAAAATCCTTTAAATTTGGTAGGTACAAATTAGCTAGTATGTTGATGGTGTTACTGAGGTTTAAGAGTAGATCAAGTCGGGGGGGGCACCCAAGATGGCTGAATAGGAACAGCTCCAGCCTACAGCTCCCAGTGTGAGCGACACAGAAGACGGGTGATTTCTGCATTTTCAACTGAGGTACCGGGTTCATCTCACTGGGGCATGTCAGACAGTCAATGCTGGTCCGCAGGTGCAGCCCGACCAGTGAGAGCTGAAGCAGGGTGAGGCATCGCCTCACCTGGGAAGCACAAGGGGGAAGGGAATTCCTTTTCCTAGCCAGGGGAAATTGAGACACACAGCACCTGGAAAATTGGGTAACTCCTACCCTAATACTGAGCTTTACCAAAGGTCTTAGCAAATGGCACACCAGGAGATTATATCCCACACCTGGCCTGGAGGGTCCCACGCCCATGGAGCCTCCCTCATTGCTAGCACAGCAGTTGGTGATCTAACTGCAAGGTGGCAGCAAGGCTGGGGGAGGTGCGCCCGCCATTGCTGAGGCTTAAGTAGGTAAACAAAGCTGTAGGGAAGCTCGAATTGGGTGGAGCCCACCACAGCTCAAGGAGGCCTGCCTGCCTCTGTAGACTGTACCTCTGGGGACAGGGCATAGCTAAACAAAAAACAGCAGAAACCTCTGCAGAGAAAAAAGTCCCTGTCTGACAGCTTTGAAGAGAGCAGTGGTTCTCCCAGCATGGAGGTTGAGATCTGAGAACAGACAGATTGCCTGCTCAAGTGGGTCCCTGACCCCTGAGTAGCCTAGCTGGGAGACATCCCC